GATTCGGCGCGACTTTATTCAGACGACCCGAACTTTTTGCAGTTTTGGCGGTGCGCCAATTTCGCCGGAGAAATTAACGGCAGATTTACGAGGTGTTACGAGGATAGGATTTACGTATTTGTTAACCCGCCACCGTCGTTGTCGCTATTACGCCCCTTCGGCGCGATATTTCACTCGGCAATCGGTAACATTTTCGCCGTCGCCGCCGCCGCCGCCGCCGCCGCCACGGCCGCCGCCACCGCTGCCGCCACCGCTGCCGTCGCTTCCTACTCGCGTAGATAGAGCATATGAAATATCGGGGCTAGAGCACCCGAGCGCAATTACCACGGGAGTGTAATTATCTCGGAGGTGCATTATCCACGACATGGGACTTGCGCGCTCCAAGTACACATTTAAGCAAACGTCGCACCGCTCGTAATTAGTAGAATTGCCAAGGTTATACCAAGCGGTGGAACAGAGTGTGCGATCATCGAATCCGGAAGTACGATCGGGCCTGACTAATCTCATGTTTATCATGTCGAAGTGCTGCTCGTGGTAACACTGCTCGTTAATCGCTCTTTCGCTGTCGCGCACGCTGGATGGAACCGCGATTATGTAAATGAGCATTTCTTAAACACTCGATTTCGCCGGCTAATTTCTATTTGCCAGGATCTCCACTTGTTCGCGCATTAACGCACTGCCGGTAAAGTGAGATTTCACGATGCGCGTTTATCGATCGCGTCAACGGAGCGGCTTTATTATGGAACAGTATCCGCAATACCGCAGCAAGCGCAGATACGCGTAGACGTCGGGCGTGTTGTTAGAATACGATTTCACGTCGCGATGCCTGATCGGACCTGAAGCTTGACTTTCCCCGTCTCAGAAGTGAACGATACAGATCTGACACTGATTCCCCCCCCCCTTTTTCCTCATGAAAAATGAGAAATGATCATTGAATTTTTATCGCGACGTGTTATTTATGTTTTCCTATTCTTCCAGCGCATAACTCGATTCGAAAGATATCGAAATGTTTTATTCAAACCGCCACACCGCGAGAAGATGGAGTTTCTGTAATACATCATCGTCCACGTAACACCATCGTAGGAGATGTTATATAGGGTGTCGCGCAACAGGATGTTCAAAGCTCAACTATGTGTCTTTGAGATCATAAAGACAAAATATTCAAGGATTTGTTGTAACTTTAATTTGCATTGCTTATCCAAAGAACAGCGAGACTCCATTAGGATCTTGCACTTGAAAAATAAAACTTTCGACAGAGGAGAACCATTAACGCGCGTCATAATTTCATTACTACTTAAATTATATTTAATAAAATTTACTTATATAATTATTGTTATTGCTATTTATACAATTGCATATACGTATTATTTATTTGCAACGGAAAAATTGTCAGAAAATAATCGCGAACGTGTAAGAATCTCTTTGCGCGAAAATCAACTGTGCTTTTCGAGATTTTCGTACGGCGTAGACGCAGACCGACATGCGCAGCCAATGGGAAACGATCGTCGCGGTGAACCGGAAGTACATCCGTGTTTGCACGTCCGCCGACCGCACGCCCGTCCGCCCCGTCCGTCGATTACACAGTTTTGCGCACGGCGCATCACGCCTCCGATGGAAATCGCGCTAATGCATTATGAAAATTATGCAAATACTGTGGATGCAGAACAGCTACGCGGTTAGGCGGGATAATTTCTGCGGCGAAGCAATAACTGCAGCACCTTTGAGTACCGCGGCGTGGAGTCTATTTTCCATTTTTTTCTTCCTCCTTTTATGAATTCCGTTCCCGTCGAAGAATACAATATTCGCACTATAAAACGTAATCTTCTACTAAGTATAATTTTAATATAATTTTTTGAATATTTAATCATCTTCGTTGTAAGATGGGATAATGCTGCAAGCATGTCATACTTGAAATTTGATCAATAAGGCTTGCTTGCCGATATTATTTTTATTTTTCCAGTTTTTGTTCAGCGTCGATGTTTAATAGGAATCGATCGTGTTTATTTATCAAACGATCGGTTTCCATGGCGCTATCACAGATTGATTTCTCAAACACACTCTCATCATTCATGCTTGGGAATTGATCCGCCGTGCACTACTCGCTGATCGCGAAGACACTGTTTACTCGGCGCGTCGACAGGATGTATTCTGTCCTCGCGTCCGACACGGAGCTCGTGCATCACGCGCGTGCAGATACGTAGCAAATTGGACTTACTTCCGCCTATATATACTCACCGCCTATTCAGGAATTCATCACGGTCGATTCTCGCGTTAAGATTTGCCGGATACGAAACCGGCCTCGCTGAGTCGAGAGTGTCAGGCATTTCGGCTCGTGCAAAACGACCTAAATTCGCACGTTCCGATTGTAAAGTGCGAATACAGACAGATAACGAGCACGGGAAGGAGTAGAATAAAACTCTTTCACGATTCAGCTATTGATGGAGGTGACGGATCCGCGCTCTTCCTCCCATTTTACAAGCAGAAATGCTTTTTTCGATAGTTAAGTTGATCACGCGTTTCCATTTCCAATTTAATGTGCACACGGAAGAGAACAATTGACAGAATGTAGTCGTTTAAATACTTCATCGTGCATTTTTATTCTTCTTCGGCGTGCAGATTTTTTATTTCAAGTGATTTATACTCTTATTTCGATTAGCTAGCGTACATGAATCTTTTTACTGTTAACTCGTATATGTGTACGGGATCGATAAACATCGATATTGCGGTTGCCTTAGGCAGGTTATAATGTAGAGCGTTGAATACCTATGCCTTTAATAATTACGCACGGAACATTGAGTTCCGCGTGAAAAAATAACGAAAGAAGGCAATTCACTCTCGGCTGAATGATTATTCGAATTCCGCGTAAATTGCGGATTAAGCCGACGTCCAAATTCTCGCCCGACGTTTAGCTGATGTCTGCGAGCTATATTTGCACGGTTTGTAGAATCGGGCTTAATGAATTCCTGAATGGGTGGAATGCGCGGCTCGCAGATACGGTCATAGTGAGGAAGTACGAGATTCGCGCCTGTAATATACAGAGTGTGTTAAACAATAGCACACCTCTTTTAGTTATAGACTCCTTGACAAATGCGTGGTCGTGTTTACCTTTGTGGAAACTCCGTCAGAGACCGATGGAGGCCACGACGTTGTAACGTTAAGCATTAAACATTTTGGTCATTAAAGTTTCATTAAACTAAAGTCAACTTGAAATTAACTAAAGAAGCTAATTATCTTATTTGCTCCCAAATAATAACTGTTTTTAATTAGCAGTCTATCTATATTATATACATAAAATAAGATAAGATATGAGTTTCAAAGAGTTTTTGCAAGAACAAGCGGAAAAAACAAAAGTCAAATTAAATATGTAACATATATACGTACAATATAAAATAAGATAAAATATGATATGATATCTAACATTCTGAACAAATGTAGAAAAATAAAACTAAATATATAATACATGAACAAAAATTTGTGTTATCTTAAAATTATGTAATGCGTAATACAATGGTTAAAATTCTGTTTCAAAAAATAAGAAAAAAGACTTATTTCAAAGATTTTTAACAATTGCGTGTTTCGCTCGCAATTTTCAGGCAGTGTTATACCAAAACGTGTTCTCAAAGTACCGTGTTATTCCGAGGGTTCCCGGAATTTTCATACCGTGTGGTATCAAAATCATGTTTTCAAAGTACGGTACCGTGTTATACGAGGGTTATCCGAACCATTCTGCTGAATTCCATTGGAATCACTTTAGTTTAACGCCGTTAATACACAATGAGATTTCGCTTTATCGATCGCTAAACCCGACCCTTTGCTTACCAAGCCTCGCAGATGTCATTTTTCTTTTCTCGTTCTTTCAACAACTTTTCCCGGCTACGGGCAGAGAACCCTTGTGTTACGATCTGAATGTGTAGAAAGTTCCGGGATAAGTACTTAGCATAAGAATCGTCTTCCGGAAACTCGTTTGGTCTGAAGCTTTTTCCCTCAAAAATAATCACAAGACATACACTCGCCTTTCTTATTGCCGTCAACCCGCTTCGGAGTCCGTGGCTCTTTCACAAAAGCCAATAACTCGTTTTTAACAATTGCGTGTTACGACCTTCTCTCTTTTCTATTTCAAATTTTATTCTATGCTTTTATGTTCAATAAAAGATTTTTAATAAGTTGCCTTTTATTGATACATTAAAGTTAAAGAAACTCGTAGTCAAAGCAAAAATTGTAATTTATTAATGTATTACAAATTGCAAGTTATAACATTGTACCTTATAAGATAATAAGATTAAAATTTTGTGTAGATCAAAGCCAATTTATCAAAAATGGCTCGATAAGCCATTCATAACAAAAAATTCGTAATAAAATGCACGTCGTTGCACAAGCAACATTTGTTTTCTTAACATTTCCTTTTGTTTATTGTCACAATGTGTCAGGTTTTCTTCAAGATTCGTGCGTGTATCGACAAAACCGTTGAAACTGTAGAGCTCTATTCGGAATTTATTAAAGTAAAAAGGCTTTTTCAGCAAAGCGGTTAAAGCTTAACGTATCGCTACTCCGTAGAAGCTCACGGAATCGTTGCGCATAAAACTACAGTCTACACGCAACTCGTTGTATCGCTCATCTGACAGTAATTCGACGACACCTTGTACAACGGACACGGAACGACAGTAAATCGTCCACGACCCCATAACCCCGTAAGGATGAGTCTGGCGACACGAAAAAGATTCTCTGTTTCTCCGATTTCGCTCGCATGCCGTAAAGCCGAGTAAAAAGTTGGCGTTTTTAAAGGAAAAGTTAGAAAATTATTCAAATCTGTTTTCTCTATAAAAAAGTGGCATTGGAACATTGTTATAATTCGAATATTTTATTATTATACTTATTATTTATTATTACACTTTGTGACCTTTCAAAAAAATTAAAAGTTATATACCCCGCCCTTTTGTTAAGTAATAGGATTTTTACTATAAGAATGAAGAGTAACTCTATAAAAGAATTAGCATTTTCTATAAGTTTAGTAAGATTTTAATCGATTATCCATAAGGACTGTTATTACATATATGTTTAGGCACATAAATAATTTTACTTATGTGCATTATCAGGTTTTCGTGCAGAAACCACTAACAATTTGTATAAATCTATGACAAAAGTACAATTCTTGCAATCATGATGTGCATCATAGACAATTTTTCTCTCCATATATTCGCGTATATAATCATTTTTAAATTCTTCCGCTAAGTCCTCTGGCATGTTATCCGAAAATGAAATAAAGGACTTTATCGAGGCTGTCAAAATAAGCAATAATTATTGTTAAATTATAATTTAAATGAATAAATAATAAAATATGTCAATGTTCTATAAACATATAAATAATGTAAGAAAATTTATAATGCAAATAATAATTCAATATAAAATTTATAATCCTAACATTATTTCTAAAAGTATACTTACTTAAAAATTTTTTTGTATCTATGGAGCATACCGCTTCTCGTGTACTACTATGTTGAACCTCAAATCCAATATTTCCAAGCAAATCTTTCAATTCTTTGTGAGGACGTTTTGAATTGTGATACGGAGAAACGTAATTTTTCACGTCCTGCATAGACACAAAAGTAATAAATAATTTATAATTAGAAAATTATCAAAATATAAATACGCAATAATAATATTTACTCCTATGTACGATGAATAGCGATCATCTTTGGCCAGAACTTGGATAACTTCAAATATATCATGATATCCTACCATTAACACGAGCATAGTTCCATTAGGTCGAAGCATGGAATAAATATTTTCAAAAGCTTGGCTGTTGGATAAAAGAGATAAATAAATTATTTCTAAAATGTACATTTATTATGCCACTTTTGAACAATGAGACTAATATAATCGTTAAAATATTTAAGTATTATAGTATATTGCATTCTTACTTTTGAAATCATTATACTATGTTATTATGCTGCGAAAAAAATGACAAAAAGCATTTACGCAAAAATATTAAAACAAAATATCTAAATTATTTGCTAAAACTTATTTTGAACTAATAAAAAGTTCTAAAAGTTCTTATAAAATTCCAATAAAAAATAAATAAATTTGCTTATAAATTAATTATATTTATAATTAATGTGGAATAATATTACTTACCGAATATCTTTACACCAATGTAGAGCATGGAATGAGAAGATATGATCAAATTCGGAGATATATTTTTTCGGCAAATTTTTGGTTTGAATGTCTAGTACTTCGAACTTGAGTTGTTTATCATTGTACTGCTCATTCGCATAATCGATCATGTCTTGGGAAATATCCGTGCCTTCGTGATCATAATCATTAAGTTAAATAATTATTTGTGTTAAATTGTTGTTACATATTTATAATTTATTATCTTTTTACCAATTATTTCCGCTTTCGAATCAAGAGCGGGTAAAAGAAGTTCTTTCGTTATATCTCCGGGACCACAACCAATATCCATACACTTGCCAGACATGTTTATTAAATCATCGGCATATTCATCGATTAAATTCGTTACTTTGCTCTTTTGAAGATCGTCAGTTAGAGCGTACTTCTCTGGATCCGCCATCTTCTTTGACATTGTGCTTTTATCTTTGCATAATTAGTTACATTGTGTTCGTTAATTAGTTGCGGTATCTTCGTTTTATATTATAATGTAATTTCACTACAATTATTCTAAAAATTACTATACAATGAATTTAAAAATCAGTTTTTGAAAAAATCTTTCAAAAATAAAGATAGCTTGGCTACAAGAAAAACTTGAGCTCTCTTGATCTATAACCTTGTCAAGATGAGATCAAGAGCAAATATATTGAATTAAAGAATTCAAAAATGCTCTATACAAGAATTTACTAACACATTATGAAATGCATTAATAAAAATTCGATCTTCAGCATGTGGTCAATATTTTACAATCTTTTAGCGACAATATCCACGTTCTGATAATTTACCCATCTACATAGAAAAAATCGTGATTTTCTAGAAAAGTTCCGGAAAAACAGCGATTTCGGCTGATATATATTAGCATCGTGCCAATGGCAAGTAACTTTTAATTATTATGTATTCATATGTATTCGTAATGAATGTAAACGGCAAGGCCAAGAATACCGAGAAAGAATATATTTAGTGTGCATCAAATTTCTTTGTTAGAAAATCTATGGAAGTTTTTAAAAGATATATATTTAATATCAATTTATATAGGAGAAGGTGGGGTAAGACGGACCCCCTAAGCAAAAATGGCTATATTTTTTATATTAATGACAAAAAATAACTGAAATTTAGCATGAAGAAACTGTAGAATGTTTATTATAAGATTATAATGTTAAATTTTCAAAATTTGCAAAAGTTTGAATTATTATTAAGATTTTTAAAAACTTAATTTTGGTCTGTTTTATCCCATAGGTGGGGTAAAATGGACCATCCCATGAGGTAAAATGGACCAAGCCGAGATAATATGGATCAAGAAATAATTTAACTGATCAACTCAAAATCAAAACTATATAGTATTTATTAAATATTTTTGTAATAAGAAATAGAAATTAATTTAACATTAATTATTTTATTATACACACAAATCTTTAAAATAATTATAATCTTTATAATTTTTAACGTTTATATTAAATATAACATTAAATATAACATTTTAAAATAAAGCATGTAAATAAAATAAATAATTATTATAAAATCTGTTTTTATTTGGAGACATTATTTTCAATAAATTTCAAGTTTCTTCTACTTTTAACAGTGCGTTTTTTATTTTTCATAGCTTTTTTCAGTAAAAAAAATGAGATGTAAAATATTTCTCAAATCAGAGCAAATATATAAGCAGAAAACTATAAGTAGAAAGTATAAGTAGAAAATATAAGTAGAACAAATATATAAATTGGTCCGTTTTACCCCATTTAAATTGGTCCATTTTTACCCCACATGACAACATTAATATTATCTTATTTTTATTTACCTGTATCAAAATTATTTTTTAAATGTAACTGATGAAATATTACTTCTCAATAACCAGAAATATGGAACTTGTAGAAAAATTTAAAAATATTAAGTTTTGCAATCTTAGTCACTTAAAATGTAATACTAAGAAATTAGATCACGAGATCTATTTGCAAGAATTTGACGTTTCTTTATAAATAACTTACGATAGTCTTATGATATAATGACGTAATTTTTAAACAGTTAAAAAGCATCAAAAAGGAAATTAATTTTATGTTTATCCAGCAGATAGAGGTACTTACTAATAAGATCTAGCAAATGGACCATTTTACCCCGCGGTCCGTCTTACCCCACCTTCCCCTAATATATACTGATTCGCTTACAATGTGAACTTACCGGCAAAAAACGACTGTGTGCTGACAGAACAAACTTCAGTTCTTAACTGATCTTTTTACAACGGAATAAGCACCTTATATACGGATAAATTGTCATCTCTTCAAAACAAACTTATATAACATCATTACTTTTTATAGAATGTGACATGATAATGAAGTAATTATATAGGCCTTGTCTTTTCCTGGTACATTATAGCAATCTCTTTATCTGCACTATTGAGATAAACAAACATAAAAACTAATCAACATAAAAAAAATTAACAACTAGCATATGCTTCTTAAAAACAAGAAAAACAGGTTATGTGTTATCGCGTGTGAGATTAGGTGCAAGTGTTAACAAACAGATATGCATATACATATACAGCATCATGTATATTCAGTTATAACGATTTACGCAATTGTACATTATTGTTGCGTTAATGTATATATACAGGGTGTTTTATAATGTCCGTGCCAACGCTCGTGTGTGGATAAAGTGCGGTAAACTGAATAGAAAAGTCCTTTACCGTTTTGCAATTTTTGTAATAATAATTGAGATATTAATTAAAAAGGATTGACGAATAATCACGCGTTGCGCGCGGCTAGATCATATAATAACGCGTGGTGAGAGCAGGAATAACACGTCTTATTTTTCGTTGTCATGCAATCCTTGTTGCTGTCACGCCTAGAGTGTATGCTAGAGCTTATCCTCTAGCCGTGCGCAACGCGTAATTATTCGTCAATCCTTTTTAATTAATATCTCAATTATTATTGCGAAAATTGCAAAACGGTAAAGGACTTTTCTATTCAGTTTACCGCACTTTACCCGCACACGAGCGTTGGACATTATAAAACACCCTGTATATTACAATACATTGTGCACTGATAATAAATAACTTTTAATGATGTTTAATGTCTTATCTAGTCTTCTCATTATAAAAATGTTTTTGATATCTAAATCAAAATGATTTGGTTTATCTTCTGTTTGAAAATAAAAAATGATATATATAAATAGTACTTACGAAATTATTTATAAAATATTTCTCTCTCTTTTTCTGCACGTGCGCGTGTATGTTAATGCGTTTATCATATTTTATCACATTTTCTATGCTGTTGTTAATATGTAATATATTGTTATATTAACTAATTGTAAGACAAAAAATAACGATTTAATTTAAACAAATTTGGTGACAATAAAGTATCTAAAGTTATACCAACTTAATTTAACAAAAACTAACCATGGTTTATATTAATTTGATATTATATATATATATGTAATTAATCATTAGCAATAATAAACATTTAAAGTTTTTTTATATATTGAAATGTTATAATGTTAATTAAATATATATTTAATTATTATAATAAAAATAAAGTATTGTACGCGTTTTATGTACGCGTCAATCCTTTTTAATTAATATCTCAATTATTATTGCGAAAATTGCAAACGGTAAAGGACTTTCTATCCAGTTTACCGCACTCTATTCGCACACGAGCGTTGGCACGGACATTATAAAACATCCAGTATAAATACACTGACGCAACAATAATGTACAATTGCGTAAATCGTTATAACTGAATGTGCATAACTAATTTTAATAAAAGCACAAAAATTTAGAATTATAAATTAAAAACACGACTTAATTATATCGATTTTTTCACTTTATCGGATTTTTAAAAATTGTGATTGCTCAAGAGCTATGCGATTCTGTTATAAAAATGATCTAGTAAAAATATATGAATCGGGATTTGGATAATTAATATTCATTTTCATAATTAATCCATATCAGTCATCTGATAATATATTGGATTACTTGCGTAAATAATTGGAAATTTATTTCCGCGATTGAAACATAATTACAAACAGCCATAAGCATATATATGTAATTACAGTAAGAGCAATTATTATGTAATTATTGTAAGTAGATTAAAAAGATTAATATGCTATGAACCGTTCTTACGACACATATGAGACATACAAGTATATATTTATAATATTGTCCCAATATTTGGACATATTTAAATAAATACGTATAATAGTGTTTCCCCACAAATTTTTTTCGATAGAAATGCTTCGATTTATTCTAAGATTTATTTAATTACAATTGACTCAATAATTAATCGAATAAAACCGTGAAAATTAATATACTATGTGCGCTTAATTATATTTATACAAATTTA